TCCCGCAATATACGCTGAATTCTGAAAACTCTCCTTATCAATCTTGCACCTTCCGCAATGGGTGCTCGCGTATACGGACAGGACATGGCTGCGACAGGCTTCCCAAATCCACCTTCGCTTTTATAGCCGTGGTCTCTCATCTTGATTACACGAAGTAATTTACTAATTACTACTCTGAAATATGAATTACATCTGTAATAATCACATACATGTAATAGAATGTTAATAGTACATTTCCCTTTTTTAGGAAATGACCTGTATGTATCTGTGTGACATCAATAACAGGATCAAGTGCTGCATTATCTTTAGTTACATTGATGTTATTTATTTATGGTGAAACAGTGGTGGAATATCGCTGTTGCTTTCGTATAAATGAAGCGGACATACCTGCGTGGCCGCGATCTAATCCTGTTTACATAAAGTAAGCCTGCTCCCGAGCAGGTTTACGCTTACGGCTCTGTTGCTATGACAGCAAGTCCCGGATGAGCTTCGGGGAACCGAACGATCCAGGATCACGCGAAATCGTCAACAATCTAATCCAGCTAACTTACTTAGCGAGGTACGAAGAACGGGCCCCAGGTCATCATTGATCACACTGCTTGACAAAAAAATGTTTTGTTTATTACTGGGACATTCAGAGAAGCTCTTAGTCTAGTTTCTTACTCTGATTTCAGATCTGCAATCGTATTCAAACTTATGTCACTGACGTTTCTAGCCAGTCAATCTAGTTATCCTTGGATACTTGGAACATCATAACTAAAAAGAAAATGGGGTATGCTACACTAACATTGTTTTCAGATTTGGAGTTGGCAAGTAAAAGTTGTTGAGGGGCAGGTTTAAAAAAAAAAAAAAAAAAATCAATAAAACTAAAGCTCCACTCTTTCTCTTTTGGTTTATCCTAGATGCCCACCATCCCTGGCCTCCCCACTCGGCCTTGTTTCTATGACATCGACCTGGACCCCGAGACCGAACAGGTCAATGGACTCTTCTGAGAGAAAAAAAAACAGGTCCTCACACCCTTTGATGGTACGAAACATAGTTAAGACATAAAGCCATGCAGCAGAGTGCATCATCAGCAGATCATAACTGTTTCATTCTTAATGTGTAGACATTAACCCATCAGTCCTCTGAGCGCCAAAGAAATGTGAAGAAGAACCAACTGGAAGCACCTCAAACTCGTCTGCTGTTTTTGTTGTTTCTCATATTAACACTGATGTCTGTAAAGCTGCTGCTGATGGATCAGGACAGTCTTTCTCCCTTCTATCAGGCATGTGTTGTTCCGTTATATTGCTGACTGAACATGCACATTTCACATCTCAGATTGCCCAGGCTGTATTTACTAACTACTTGTGTATATTTTGTGAGCACCACACCAGAGGCATTTCCTTCAGTTCAGTCTTTAACAAGCTGTGCCCTTCGGATAAAGGTTTTATTACATAAGTAAGTCTTAACAAGAAATGCTGCCCTAAAACAAAATTATAATTTGTTTAATCCCATCTAATTGCATTTATAATGTCTCCTTTCTCTGTCTTTGTTTTAATTAACACTCGGTAACATTTTTTGAAAAGTCGCCATCATTGCTGTGAAGCTCACTGGCCATGTCATTGTAAAATCAGTGATTTCCTCATATCTGTGAAATAAAGGCTTTTAAAACAAAGCTGCATGTTCATTTTTTTTTTCCAGAGTTTAGTTATTTTCTGCCTTAAACACGCAGATCCTGAGGAGCATAGTGTACAGAGGTTGCCAACTTTCTGCAGAGTCAATTGTTACAGACCTCTAAACTTCATGTAGCCTAAAGATTAGCGCAACAACAGTGTGTAGAGAGCTTCATGGAATAGGTTTCCATGGCCAAGCGGCTGCATTCAAGTACAAAGCAAAGCAGTCATCATCATCAGAATTTTATGCTCCCAACTTTGTGGGAACAGTTTGTAAAACCAAAAACAGCAAAGCTATCAGAACCAACCCAAATCATGAGCCCTCCACCACCGTGCTGATATGCTGTATTTGGTTTCTGCCAACAACAAGTTTTCCATTATGACCAAACTTTCTTGTCTTTCTTAAGGACATTATTGCAACACTCCTGTGCCTTGTTAAGGTACATCTTTGCAAAGTGCTGCCATGATTTTTAATTTTTTTTAATAGAATAGACATTCTCCAGGCTACCCTTCCAAATAACCAGTACGTACTGTTATGGCCATATGAGGCCTGCAGATTTGAGATGTCGCTCTTGTTCCCTGAGTCTGACGTTGGGCTGAATTTGTTAGTAGATCCACTCCTGGGAACATTGTAGCACTGAGCTAACACACACCTCCATTCTCTAGATCAGCAAACTGCAAAAACATCTGCCTTTATAGAGTATTATCATAGTTACAGATAATCACTTAAGCAGCCTCGCCTCTGTCAGTGCGCCCCAGGGTGGCTGTGGCTACAATGTAGCTGCCATCACCAGTGTGTGAATGTGTGCGTGAATGGGTGGATGACTGGATATGTAAAGCGCTTTGGGGTCCTTAGGGACTAGTAAAGCGCTATATAAATACAGGCCATTTACCATTTAATCAGTTCAATTAGCAGCTCTTGGCTACTACTCCCCCTCTTTATTCCTAGGGAAGCAGTAAGGGTGCACTTAACATTTTAAAGGACTGCACAGAACACTGTGAAAACTTTGTATTTCTTCAATATTCCAGTTTAAAGTCATGTAAATGAATTGGAGGTAAAGTCAGTATTCCAGGAGGATATTGGAGGAATTTGTAAGACTACAGAGGAACATGTTGTAGCTAATAACAGCAAAACCCATGCCAAATGATAAGTTTGTAGCTTGAACCTATTCGCTGGAACGTTGAAGACAATATAATTACACAGCAAAAGCATTGAACACCAAGTAGGCAAAGTTCTTCTTGTTACTCATGCATGAGGGAGACCTGCCTGGAGCCAAGTGTCGTTCCACCACTTGACCTCCGTCAGACTCTCAGCCAGGTTCCCCATAGCACTCCTTTTATTGTGCTTACATGAATATGCATAGGGTCATTAACATATGACGTCTACATACACACAAAGAGTACCTTGCCTGTGTGTGTGTGTGTGTGTGTGTGTGTGTGTGTGTGGTACTGCTGATCAAAGGGTCATATAACATGAAAGCACAAAAGCAAACATCCTTGGTCAGGAAGAGGGTAGTCTTCCCCTCACCCTAGATGGTTCACCCTAGATAACACGGTGAGGAAGTCCAGCAGTTCATCTAAACAAAAAGCACTTAGACTAGAACAGACGTAGCTACGTTAATCCTACCGTAAAACAATAAGACAAGGTACGACCTCTCTCGTGCTCCCAGAGTGCTCTCTAATGCACACAAAGTTTGCAGACTATCAAGGATCAAACCTCTACCAATCTGCAACTAATTATAAAACTCTAAGCATATATAAGTAAATATTTCTAAGCATAAATGACAATCAACAATACAAAACCTAACACCAAGAAAGTGTGGTAAGAGACTGCTAAGAGATTAGGAATAAAGAGCAAAAAAACAAGTGAGGATATTAATCAACCCTAGATATAAAAAAAACGAGGATCTTAAGAGAATTTATTTGGATGATGTCAGATAATCTCATTCCCCGGAGAACTACTGCCATGCTAAGAATAGCACAATGAGTAAGAAAATGTCAACTATTATACACAAACAATGAAGCATAGTAGAGGGAACTGCGCCATTCAACATGTGACTCATTGCAGTGCTGCAGATAATAACACAGCCATGAATGGGAAGCAAAATTTTATTTCACGCAGGACACATTGTTGCTAACGATGTCGCTGTTCTGGATAATTGATTCATAGATGTCTCTAATGGAGGTTTTTGAGCACAAATGGTAGACGATAAAAATGGACGAACACAGCTTTGTGCTGTCCATGTTGATTTCAATGTCAACAATTCACAGTGATGTTTCTTGCAGCAACTCTTTGATGCACTTTCCACAAGGATTGACAGGTTTTGCAATACTGTGGAGGTAATCAGGGAACCACACTGTGAGTAAAAAAGCAGCACACAACCGTTGCAATCATTCACTTCCAGAATGCTTAGTAAAATATTGCCTCTTATAATGTTTTTCTTTCTTTTTTAAATTTTACTTTCAGGACACTTTGGGACAGATTAAAGTGATCAGTTCTAGCACTTGGGCCACATTTTGTCCATAATTCTTTATAGCAATGCTAAGACTAAAAAACCAAAACCAAATGGGCTGCTGCAGTAGGTTTGACATGTTGCGCATTCAGAGAGGCTCTTCTGTAAACAGTGCTTCAGTTGAAACGAGTGTCTTCTGATTTGCTGTTGTCTTGAAGCTTGAAGAAGTCATTTTCAACTTTTGATCACTCCTTATTTATTCTGTATTTGGGCTATTCTCTGGCACATATTGTGTAACACTCTGTGTCACATTCAAAATCACTTAAATCACATCTTGATCCTCAGCTTAAACGTAAGCACTTCATTGGAGCAAGTTTAAATGCCTCGATGCATATAGTTGCTGCGATGTGAAAAGCAGTTAAACGTGTGTACCTGTGATGTTTGTGTTGTGGAAAAACAAAATGCCTTATTAATGGTTGTTTGTTGAAATATTTCTTGGCCAGGAAACATGAAATTTCACTATTAGATCATGTTAATGACTAAAATATGAAACTTTTAAATCAGATCAGGAACCACTGAAGACACCCATGCAAATTAAAGTGGTACTCTAGTGGCATACATAACCTTATAGAGCACCATTATTTATATTAGACTTACACACATTTTTAGTGCCTGGCTAACCTAAAATGTGTCCACAAACGAGAAGATTACCATGAAGATAGAACACGTTCAAGTGCAAATGACTTGATATGATTATTGCCATTTTTAGTTTTTGTTTTTGAGAATGACTAATTGTTATCAAAGCCCATTGATTTATCAGCAAACATTATTGAATTTCAGAAAGGATCCAACAGTTGTAATTGTAATACTTATGTGAATAAACAAGACAGTCTTCTTTCTGTATTAGTTTATTAGAGATATATCTGTCATTTTGCAGTCATCAGATAATGCTGATTCAGTGAATTCTTCATAATTTATTTAGGAACTTGTCCGCCCCCTCTTCCTTGTCCGCCTCCTCTTCCTTGTCCACCTCCTCTTCCACCTCCATGTCCATGTTCACCTCCTTTTCCATGCTTTTTCCCTTTCCCCTGTAAACAACCGTTAGAAAATTAAGTGATTAAAAACGTATTGTAACTCAGATGGCAGCAAACTTTCAATTCCAAAAGGCTGCTGAAGTTGTACCTTTCCTTTTCCTTCTCCCTGTAAGTGATAAAGACAAATAAACTCATGAATGCTACAATATTACAGAATCAACAGAGCAAAACAACAGAAAGCACATGTGAAACTTTTCTTACTCCTGATCCTTCTCCCTCTGATCCTGATCCTGATCCTTCCTCCTCATGAGGATATTTCTCTTCCTTCTTCTGACAGGAGAAAATTGCTTTATAAGTACATGTTTATAATGCTGTTTGTCCCAGGTGTAGAACAATCAAATGAAATAAAAGTACTTACTTCAGCTGCAGCTATAGTTGGAAACAAAAAACAAAGTAAGAAAAAAAATTAGATAAAGAGAAACCAAGCTTGATATGTGACTTTGCAAAAGAACAGGATAGATGACTGCGATCATAAGGCCACAACCAAAATTGAAAGCAGCTTTCAATAACAGAATTTAACAGAAAGGCAACTGCACAAATGGCACAAACAACACATGATATTTTCAGCTTAATCAGAGACTCACGGTCACTCATTTTGTCTTTTTAACAAGCGTTGTAGAAATTCTTTTTCTAAAAGAAATACAAAAGTTGAGAAAAATGAAACACTCTTAAAGTGCACTCTGCAAGTAGCAGTAATTCTACAGGGTGGGCCATTTCTATGGATACAGCATAATATCATGAGAATGGTTGGTGATATTAAAGTCCTGTTTGTGGCACATTAGTATATGTGAGGGGGCAAACTCCTCAAGATGGGTGGTGACCATGGTGGCCATTTAGCAGTCGGCCATCTTGGATACAACTTTTGTTTTTTCAATAGGAAGAGGACCATGTGACACATCAGACTCATTGGTAATGTCACAAGAAAAACAATGGTGCGCTTGGTTTCAACGTAAAGACAAAACACAAATGTGTGATGCTAATTATGAGGTATTAGACTTAAAGATAAAAATAAATCCCAACAACTCCTAGCCTGAGATCTATGTCCCCACCCTCACCTATGAGGTGTTCTGGGCATGTCCACCCTGGAGGAAACCCCGGAGCACACCAGTACATGCTGGAGAGATATCTCTCAGCATGCCTGGGAAGGGCTTGAATGGATTGGGAGGACTGGGCTTCTCTGCTTAGGCTACTGCCTAATGGATGGATTCATGGTGTATGGATGTTTTTTTTCTTTCTATTTTTGCAGCTTCAGCTTGGCTGGCTTGTTTCACTTGCATCGAGAGCTCCTTCAACCGCATCCAAATAAAAGCAACAACACCTAATATAAATTCGAGGCATTTTATCTGCTTAATTAATAATTACATGCAGTAATCAAGGAATTGCCCAACCTGCCAGTGAAACAGCCCTTGAGTAAATTGTTTGATTGGGTCCTTTAAAAAGAGGGTGGCACATGTTATGGAGCTGACAACTTAAATCAAAGTTGAGAGTCTACACATTATGTGTATGTCCATTATGTAACTATAATTGGAATATGTTTCAATAATCAGGTACTTGTGTCAGTGTCCAAATTACTATGGACCACACTGTATATTGGCACTATAATTCTTCTCTTTTTATGCATATTTAGGGTCTGCAGAGGTAAGTGGAGCTCTGAGAGAACAGAGATATCCGCATCTCTCAGCTTTTATGTCCTGTCATACCAGTTTTTTAGCTTCCACTGTCAGTTAAGACCATAATAATAAGACAACAATCCTGTTTTTGTCTGACAAACATGTCAAACCACTCATGGGCTTGACATGGCAAGGGCAATTTTGTTCTCTCATGAAGAACACAACACAGGGTGTGCTGACTGATTTCATCATGCCAATCAAACTCAGACATAAAAACAGTGTGAGTGCAAACTTGGCATGATACACTCACATTCAAGCCGTTCCTCTCTGCATTCATGTCTTAAAGACGTTAGGGTGTGGCGGCGTCTTCATTAATCCCATGCAAACGTACACCTATCTGGAACAACCCTGACATATTACAAAACAATAATATGATAAACTTTTCAGATTGGAGTGGTAAAGGAATCAAATATTTAGAACATATACTAGAAGGAACAGAATTTATTCCATTTGACGGACTAGTTAGACAATATGGGATCAACAAGAAAAGATTTTTAGAATATCAACAAAT